ATATACATATATATATCATGTTTTTGAAAAGCTGGATTAAGTTTGTAATTATTTTAATTTTTGCATTAATATTCATAAATGAGACTGAACTATAGTTTATTCTTTATTATTTTTGTCATGATCTAAAATTTATAAAGTAAACTACAGAACCTTTTCTTTTCTTCTATTTTCTTGAACTGTTAAAGCTGCATTGAGTTAACTGATTCTGCAAAGGGAGAGAGAATTCCACTATATTTGGGCCAGTTGCTATTGTGGTTGTGGGTCTATGCTTCAAAAATATTGCCACTGGCCTATCAATGTATAATCTTGGCAGCATTTGTTACATCATTGACTATAGTTGTAACATTTAAAATTATTTAATGTTTTTACTACTTTTGTGTACTCTTTCTCTTATTATGTTTTTATGTTATCATAGCAATCTGCTCTTATTAATTGCTGATGTATCCTTGAAACTATATAAAAACTAAAAATAGATTTTTAAAAAAATATCTTTCCAGTTTTCTACATTTCCTGTCCTTCAATGAGGGTATTTCCTCTGCTGTAGCGAACCATAATTGTGTTCTTTTCCGAAACTTCTTTTCCGAAACTATTGATTCTCCTCATATATTCAATTCCTACTGCTTATTTTTTTCAACATAGATATAAACTAAGCAGAACTCCCAGCTGGTATAAATTCCTTTAGCACTCACAGAGGTATAGATACAGGGCTCTCTGGACCAGCATAGACCAATGAGTGTCAAGTCCCAGGACATGCCTTGTCTTTAGAGTAAGTGGCCCAACAAGAAGGATCTGTATCCCCAGTGGGGAAGAGGGTGGCTACAAGGTCTTCAGGTTTCTTTCTGGATGTAGTTAGTGGGCATGTATAAACAACCTCTCAAGTCTGTTGTGTGGGATTAATGTGGCACACTGTGCGCCTCTGCTACAGTGAGTCCTTGGTAAGCTTCATCTTAGGTACATAAGTAAAATCTATGTAGTTTATAGCTTTTGTTTCCTAGTTTCTTTCCCCATATTTTTTCTGGTAATAATACCTTTTCTTCCTTTGACAACATCTTTTCTACCCCTCCAATCATATCAGGAGTTCATACTGTTAAAGATTGTCATCAAAACTTGCCTTTCTTTTTACTCCATGTTTAGTCACAATAGTGGGCATATGACTAACTTCAACATAGTTTTTAGCTTTTCAAAAACCATCAAGAGACCCCATCAACTTGGCCCCACTGATTAGCCAGGTCTTCCCTGGAAGTTTGTTGAAGGATATCTTGGAAGTCAAATTGCAAAGATGTGATCTTAGAATAGCCTAATGGCCAGATCCCTGATCACATGGATAAAAACTAGTAAGAGAAAATGAGCTGAAATCCTGGGAGAAATGGAGAGAGTTCTGAGGATTTAGTTTACTTGAGTGTAGCAATGTTTTTGTTGTTGCTTTTCTCAGTTGTTCGGTTCTTCCTATAATTCTGTGAGCTAACCTAATAAATAGTGTGTGTGTATGTGTGTGTGTGTGTGTGTGTGTGAGAGAGAGAGAGAGAGAGAGTGTATGTGAGTGTGTGTATGTGTGTATAGGTGTACATCTTTTACCTATATCATCCCAGGGAAATCCAACTTCTGAAGTGAGAATTTCTGTTGATTTCTAGACTTTGGATGATATTTTCCAAAATGTATATTTCCAGATTCATTGGATTGCCTCAAAAGGGATAGCAAGATGGAAAGACTCAGGAGTCAAAAGTAGTGCTAAGATCATTATCTCCTGAACTTTTCCATTATGTTAATTTTCTTTTCTCCTTCATAACTGAATTCTCAGGATCTTCTTTCTCTTTCTAAACTATGGACAGATCATGCCCTTCAAAACACTAAAATTGGGAAATAGTGAAGGAATTCAACTTTTATAGCAAGAATATAAGAAGTTTGGTTCCAGGACGCATATGAAATAGATCATTACTGCCTTAAAAATGTGATTTCAGAAAACAAATTAAATGTCTAGTGACTTCATCCATTAAGTTTTTGGTCTTAATCTTGGACAGTTGCAAATACTATCTAAGAATGTACAGTGATCTCTGGGCATACCTGGTATTATGGTTTGGACTTGAAGCATCCCCTGAAAAGCTCCTATGTAAGAGAATGCAGAATGGTTCCTAGGTGAATGATTAGATCATTTTGTAACCCAATCTGTGGGTTAATCCACTGATATGGATTAACTAGGTGTAACTCTAGATAGGTAGAATATGACTGGAGGACATAGGTCACTGAGAGAGTCCCTTTGTAGTTTATATTTTGTCCTTGGTAACACAGCTCACTTGCTCGCTCTATCTATCTATCTATCTATCTATCTATCTATCTATCTCTGCTTCCTGATTGTCATGTCCTGAGCTGCTTTTCTCCATCATGCTCTTCCACAACTTGACTCATCTCAGGACCACAGCAATGGAGCTGACTATGTATGAATTTAGACCCCAAATAAACTTTTACTCCTCTCATATTGTTCTTGTTGGGTCTTTTGGTCACAGCAACAAAAGGCTTACTAAAAACCTGGACATACCTTCACATTCCTGATGAACTCCTGGGCATAAGTATGTGTGTGTACACACACACACACACACACACACACAAGCACACACTTGAATATTTTTTAGACACGAGAAATGGAATCCTGTAATTTGTGACAACATGGATGAGCCTGTAGGACATTACATTAAGTGAAGTCAAGTTCAGAAAAACAAATACCACAACTTCTCATTACTTACACCTATACCTGGAAGCTAAAAAGTTGAGCTCATAGAAGTAGAGGTTAAACAGTGATTACCAAAGCCTGAGAAGTGTAGGGAGATGAGGAGATGGAGAAATAATGGTTATTATGCACAGGGGTTCAGTTAGAAACAAAGAATCTTTTCTAATGTTCTATAGAACAGTAGAATAAATATGATTGACCATAAATACTTGCATAGCTAATAGAGAAGATTTTGAACATTCAAAACACAAAAAATAATAATTTTATTTTTAGGTAACTGATATGCCAATTATCTTGATCTGATCATTAAATATTGTGTATGTGTATCTCACTGTTACCCCATAAATATGTGCAATTATTATCTACCAGTTAATAATTTAAAAATATATTAAGAACAAAAGACTTTCTATCTGGTAGCCTTGCTGCTTGTTGAAAACAAAACTGTTGTGAACCTTGGGTAAACACTGTGAAACTTACAGTGGGAGGGGAGGGCAGGCAGCCTGAGCTTCATGGACTCTGCTCGCAGTGTCCCCTACTCCTGCACTTCTGGGCTTTCACTCACCTCCAGATTTTATAGCAACCTCATTTCTTATTTAGAGTTCCTTAAATTCTTTAGAACTGCCACTCTAAACCATTCCAATATTTTTCCAGCTTCTAAAATTCCATCTCTCTCCAGGCTAGGTGTGGTGGCGCACACTTGTAATCCCAGTGGCTCAGGAGGCTGAGGCAGGAGGATTGCCAGTTCAAAGCCAGCCTAAGCAAAAGCAAGCTAAGCAACTCAGTGAGACTCTGTCTCTAAATAAAATACAAAATAGGACTCCAGTGGCCAAGTGCTCCTGAGTTCAATCCCTGGTACCAAAAAAAAAAAAATACCTCTCCAAATTCACCTCATTTGGTCCTAATCACTCTTCTACTTAGCAAACCCCCAGAACTCCCCAATGTTACCACTAAAGATGCCTCACCTACCTGGTCTTTCACTAACATATTCTCTATGCCTGTGTACAATTTCCAGTTGGCCTCAAATTTTATTGATGTGCCTGCCAGCCCTTTAGTAATAATGCTAATTCTGAAAAGCCAGTATGGATGGCTTAGAATGCTCCAGACACATTGTTAAGTAACTTACTGGCAGAATATTTAGAACACTGTTTGGCACATAGTTAAGTGAATAACACAGGTTTGTTATTATTTATAGCTCTATGAACTTGGTATCATTATTATGATCTCCATTTCATGGATAAGGAATCTGTGAGGCACAGAGAGTTGAATAACTTGCCCAGGATCAAACACCTCAATAAGGGGCAGAGACACAACTTTATCTCAGTTTGTTTGACTAATATTTATCCATGTCCTTAACCTTTAAAAAAGTAATTTGCTAACTATACACATACTAACCAACCATTTTATGATAATTTTCCTGAAGATTTCAGAGCAGTGTAATTTGTACTTAAAGTGGGTTTTACTTCGGTATTTATTGTGCTTTTAAAATTCAGCTTATAGACATAAGGGGAAAAGTCACAAGTATTTGTGTGTCTCTGGAGATTTTCATTTTGAAATTTAGAGGCCACTGAAATATGTGTCCTTAGGGAGAACAATTTTTAAAACACTTTTAAGTTGCTAGGAACTGAGTTTTTGGTTTTCGTTTTTAACTGTTGATGTGCTGCTTCAGTTGGCCTCTTTGATTATTTTTTCTTCAATATTTCTCAGCCACCAATAGGTCACATTTGCTCTGACTGAAACAGCTAGACCTTGTTAAGAGCTGAGCAAATATTAAAACTTCTTGAGTGTATTATATAAATGATCAATAATAATATTAAAGACTCAAACCTGAGCATGTCATGCATCTTCTTAAAGTTTTTTTTTTTTTTGGAGTACATTCTCATCTGTCACTCAAACTGCTACAATGTTGAGAGCTTCTCTCCTAGTCTATATAGTAGAAGTGCCCCTTCCTCTGTCCTCTCCCCGGGTTCCTAAGAGGTCCTTTGCTGGCCTGCCATCTCCCTTCCTCCTCTTCTCTCTCCCTGCCCCCGCTCTCTGTCCTAGGCCACCCAGCCCGTTTTGTTTTTTCCCTTTGCTGTTTGAGCCTCTTAGAGAGAAGCAAGGATCATTGGACCGGGTCCTGAGGCCCTCTGAAAGGCTCCCGGGGTCTCTGGGGAGTAGTCAGATGACAAACTCTCAACCCAACCAGAACGGGTGCCCGGAATCCTTCCCACTAGGCAGACACAGGAACCTAGATCCCATCCTGGAACTGCCAAACCCAGGGCTCCGCCCACCCCTCCAGACACCACCAGGCACAATTGCCTCCCTCCGGATTTCCACCAGGGTGAACGAATGGGCTTGGAGGAGACTCCAGATGCCAGAGACGCGTCTTGAAAAACGTGTCATTTAGAAGAAAGTCTGTTCCCTACAGGGAGTGCAGTTGGCAGCTGTAGCCACAGTCGGTTGCGAGAAAGCTCCCCACCTGGGGAAACCAGGCGGCTCACGTGCGCGCTCGGCAGGGAGGACGCGGCGGCCGCGGGACTCGAATCGGTGGTCCAGAGGCGTCCTGGGGTCTGTCTGCGGCCTGGCCTGCTGGCCCAAATTAAAGTGGGAGGAAGCCGGCGTGCACAGCTGTCGTCGGTCCGGCTGAGGCCTCCGCTCCCTGCCTTCTCCCCTCTCTCCCGCCTCCCGCCCCAGAAATGATCTCAAGCGTTGCCAGTTTGATTCCAGAGCCCCACTCGGGTGGGTTCTTTTGTTTCTTTGTTTTAATGACAGTTCCCAGCCCTTCGGCATGTCATGAGCAATTAATTCCCTGGCTCTCTTGAAGGCAGCTGGGGTGAAATTTTTTTCTGCATCATCCTTTTGGGGATAATTGTTTATGATGTGACGTCAACGGATTGCTTTTTTTCTCTCTTGAATGGAGGTGACGGCGAGAGAGCGAAAGCGAGAGAGAGAGAGAGAGAGAGAGAGAGAGAGAGAGAGAGAGAGAGACTCACAGATGTGCGCAGAAGCCACGGATACTGACATTTGGCATTCCTTCAGGGCAAAAGGAGGTTGGAATGGGAGCGTTAAAAGCGTGTTGCCAAGACTTCGGGCTGCACGGAATTATTAAGAAGTTTTTCTTAAAAAAAAAAAAAAAAAAAAAATCCCCTCCGCAGCGAGCCACTTAGGTGCTCCTTTCATGCTAGAGTCCGCTGTTAAGGTGGCAGCGCCTGATAATTAATCTCGGGCACCCAGGCGCTGCAATAGGCTTAAGAAGAAGACGCGGAGGGGCGGGGGGAAATGCGTCACCAGGTGGGGAAGGGGCGATGTATTTGGTGACAAACGGGAGGCGCTGGGGTGGAGAGGAATGGGGAAGGGAAATAGGTTCCGTGTGCTCTCCGGGGGTATTGTGTCAGGAGATGCAGGCTGGCTACCATGTGACGCGGTCCAGAGCTGAAGGGATTGGCCGAGGCAGCGCAGGCGGTGCAGCTCGGCCGGCTTGCTGTTCCTCTGCCTTTCTCTCTCAGCATCTTCCTGGGAGCCTGTAGGTGAAGCAGCACCAGGAAGCATCCATGGCCTGTCTTTCGGGTTAACACTTGTCTCCTTTGGCTTTGGCAGCTGACACTGCAGACCTCAGCAGCGGCGTTGTGAGGACTTAACTGAGACCTGGAAGCGTATCCTCCTGTGTTTTTTCAGACTCCTTGGAAATTAAGGAATGCAATTCTGCCACCATGATGGAAGGTAGGATGCTTTCTGCTGATGTTGGCTGGCTTCGGGCAAGATTTGGGCAAAACAGCACGGAAGAATGTGTGCAGCCAGTGTTGGTGGCCATTCTAGAACCTGGTTGCCAGGGTTTTGCAAGCATAAATGCTGCAGTTTCCTTGCAGAGAACCAGGGCTTGGACTAATGGAATCAACCACAGGGCTTCTGTCTAGCTCAGAACCTACAGAGAGCTCCCAGCTCCTTTGAGACAGAAAAGCCTAAAGTATTTGTAGGAAGCTGAGCTAGAGCTAGGAAAGAGCTTGCAGAGCAAATAAGTTGGGAGAGAAGATAAGGTTTTCTTTGCTGGGTTCCTGGAACTACACTGATTAAACATTTACAATGGAAACTTGTTTTCTGAAATTGACATTAGACAGGAGAGGTCATTTACAGAGTTATCCATACTGTCATTTTCAGTGAGCTGCTTAAAATTAAAAAAAAAAAAATCTTATAAGATATTTTTGTCTCTGCAATTTATATCATATAATTAGAGTGATGTTTACAGCAAATTTGGTCCATGAACTGAAGTTTTACATTTATGCCATTGCAAAGAATGAACAATATAAGGAAAATATCTGGGCCTCTTGGCTCCTGAATCAAGATCTTATCAGGTTAAAAAAAAATGTGCTTCCTAAAAGCTTTCCCCATGCAATGGTTCTTAGCCAAGCATCAAATGATTACTTGCTGATTATCTTTTTGCATTCAATATTAAGTGTAAGGAGGAACTTTCCCTGGGGAGATGCTATTTAAACTATATATTATTCTACCAAATTACCCTTCCCAGGCTGAGATAGTGACAGCCAAGATTGCCTCAAAAAAGCTGCAAGCAGATCAGGAAAGAAGCAGTCAGCTCTATGCGAGCTTTGATTTTCTGTTTTCACACTACAGGATGGTGCAAAACTCCTGGCCTTTCCTAAGATGACAGGCAGAAATTTGTCCCCAGCCTGGATTTTACAATGCAGAATTGAGTGCATAATGGGTTTCAAATCAGCCATGAAAATGGCAGAGAGGCCACCTCTTAAGCCAAAGTCTGTCTTTCCAATTTTAAATATTCCTTAGAAATTTACCAAAATGGAATTAAGGGAAGGATGGTTTCAAAAAAACAGCAGTGTACTTATTTGGCAGAAATGAATTCTTTTTGCTCTTTCTGTCATCATGTCAAATGTTGTTAGTGTGATTTGGGGGAGTGAAGAATTCCAGAGTCAAAACCCATAGATTTTGGAAAATAGCCTTATAAGAGAGATTGGGTATCGTTTTGTTATGGAACCTGATCTTGTTTGTAAAGGGATCTGAAGCTAGTTCTTTATATATAGGCAGGCCTAAATAAATTGAGACTGCTAGCACTCTAAGATTAAACCATTTTTCATTAATTCAAAATGAGTTTAATCTTTGAATAACAAGGAAAGGCAAAGAGAGCATCACTTATGTACTTTTCAATTAAAAGTCTATGTGGATTATCTTCTTCAGTTTTTTTTTTAAATCTTCTATATGGAAGCACTGTATTTTGCCAGATAAATTTCTTGTAGCTTTTCATAAAAATGCATCTACACTCATTCTGATTAGATTCCAGTTATATATGGGCAATTGGAAGGTCTAACATTTTACTTCTTGCCTTGCAAACTACAGAGCTAGTGTCTTCTCTGAAGGTAGTAACATTTATTGATGCTCATTAATGATCCTCCCTGGTAATATGGTCTATTGTGCCAACCCAGAATGTCAGTTCAAAGCCCTGTGATAAGCTTATCTGAGCTGCCTAAACTGAAATGAGAACTGTAACAAAGACTTGGGTTGGAGCTGAATTAGCACTATCGCCAGGTTTGCCAAATTTATCTAATGAAGGATATTATCTTAGCTCTGGTAGGAATTAGAGGTGACACTGGATGCAGTTGCCTTGTATCCGACCCTTGCAAGAGAAATTGGACAGATATTGCCACTAGTTTAAAAATTAAAGTGAAGCAAATAATTTTTTCTACCAATAGTCGCTATTTAAATTCTTTTCAAACCTTGTTATTTTAATGGTTCAGTGACCTTGAGAAAGCAGGTAGGGACCTTAACCAGAAATCCATCTGCATGTCAGTGGTCTTCCAACTTAGTTGCCAATCTCTTTGGCAATAATCTGTTTGTGTTTCTGATATTGTATTCCAGAATTTCACCTCTGAATTGCTCTTACTCTGAAGATGTGACATAATGGTTATTTTCACTTAAGTCACCTGAAAAAAAAGCCAAGGTGTTATATCTATCATAGTAACCTTGGAAAGACAAGAACCCCCTAAAAGGCATCCTAAAATGTTGTCTTAGCTGAAATATCAGTGGACTCTGAGAATGTGCCCCCAAACATCTAGCTCATTAAAATCGTGTCTGATCTCAACTTGTACATGTGTCTCTCTCACACACACAGTCACTCACACACATAGTCAGCCACATGAACAGCTTTCTATGGAGGGGGAGAATGAATGGCTGCAATAGTGTGTGTTCATTCTATATTGCTGAAGTATTTTAATCTGCTTTTCAGAAAAAAAGCATGGCCAGGGCAACTTTTCAAAGCCACTTCTCTACTGTGTGTAAAACAAGAGTAAACAAATATGCAATGGAATGGAGCATAGTTTAGTTTTGTGTCCTTGTTTTTGTGGGACAGGATACAGGCTCCATTCATTCAACAGCCTATTGGGAATCCTGGTCATAGAAGAAGAATGTAACTACCTCCCCAGTGATTCTAAGGTCATGAAAGACAGCTTAATAATTCTGCAGGGACTTAAGGGGGCCACCAGTAGTTTGTGGGTCCATGATTCTATATCAACTATGTATTTTTAAAATACTTGATTTGTTGCTTTCTACATTCTTCCTTTTTTGGCAGTGTTTGGTATTGATTTGTTACTTTTCTGAAGAAAGCCCAATGATATAGATCATATGTGGTATAAATGTGAAGGGAAAGATAAGCAATAAAGGGAATTATTTGCTTAAGTGTGTGTGCATTGGCTGTACTTACAATGTAGTCTATTTGGTTAGGGCAACTATTCAGGACTATTTTCCATATATTATTATTAAACTTTAAAAATGGCATTTTTTAAAGTTATGTTTCCAAAGATAGTGAGGCCAAGCCAGTATCTCTTAGAATATCTTTTTATTCATGAGGCTGCCTGGAAAGAACTTTCCTTGTTCATGCAGAAGTGACTGAAAGTGCTTTGTGTTTTTAATTCCATATTCAGGCTTTTAGGTGCTGAATCAGAAAGATAAGTTTCTGGGTGCTGATTGTTTCATACTATATAACAATGTTAAAAATTAGCAAGTGTATTTTAAGGGCTTCATTGAAATTCAGGGTGATTTAAAACATTTTATTACGTTTACTACTGAAAATAAATGTATTTAATGTAGCAATACTTTGGCAGTAATTTTTCTAAATCTCAAAAATAAAAGATAATACACTGACACAGAAAATGATGGAATGAAATTTGAACCTAAGTCCATTCAACAAGAAGACTCATAATTTTGGCCTTCTAGAAATTTTTTCTTTTAATTTTGTATGAGGATGGGCAAGGTAGCCAAAATGAAAAAAAAAAAAAAGAGGCCTTTGTTTCTTTAGTTATACATTCCATTTTTCTCCATTTTAAATATGAGAATTTATGGAACCATATCCTTTGGTTCCTTTCTAATTCCTTTTCTGCCAGAATCATTATTTAGATGGTTTGGACACTATTTGAGGTTAACTGAAATTCTGTTATTGCAGTAAGCCCTATAAACAATAAAGGCTTTTTTTCCTATATAGAAATGGAGTTTTATAATACTTTAAAAAATTCTTTGATGTGATCAAAAAGGAAGAAAGCAACTGAAGCTGGAACTATTTATTTTACAGTTAACTAAGAAGTTTTTAAAGAGAATGCTTCTAATTAGCCCTGCCAATCCCCTTCCCTCAAATAGTGAAGCTACTTTAGAAAATCTAAGCATGTATATAAGATTCTAATATATATCCTATCATTTATATAGTTTTTTTTTCCTTCTCTGGGACTGTGTTGTTTGAGACTCTTTAGATGTATAAGTTCCCATCCAATTTAAGGGTCAACTTTAAAAAGAATACATAGTCTTAAAAAAAAACAAACTTAGATAAACCAAGCTAGATGATTCTGAACAATTCTTTCTGTTGTAATTGGCATATGTGCTACCTGTGTTTCAAATAAACAAGTTGCAGAAAGTCACCAACTCACAGTTTTTATGTCCTCAAAGTTCTTTTGTGAGTTACTGGAACGGAACATGTTTTCTCATAGTAACAGTGACATAAATGATGGTATCACACTAGTCCATTGAAGGCTATTAGCCCAATATTATCGCATATCTGCAATGAGATGTATAAATAACAGTACAGTTACCATAGTGATTAGCCAGAAGGGGAATGATGGCATTAAATATGCTTCCAATTTCAAATATTGCTGTTTGATATTGCTATTAGTCTTCCAGCCTGGTTTATCTAATTATTAACAAAGAAGTTTTAATTAGAGGACAATGAGAAGCTGGTGAGAATATTTGAAGGTGTTGTTAGATATTTTCAAAAATTTTTAAAGACTCATAGCACTGGATTTTTCAATTATTTTCAATTTTACTCTCATTCTTGTGGCTTTTTTTAAATTCAATTTTATCATATTAACTCTTATTAAATGTGAGTAAGGCTATTACATAAATTCAAAAATGGAGTTGAGGGAGAAGGACAGAGAACTTACTGAGATGACTATAAAAAAGGCAAAGGGAGAAAAGGAATAACAGGTTATAATGAATTTGGACTTGTATATCTGAAAAAGTTCCTGAGAATAAATTAACTAAATAAGAAGAAGGAGGTCATAGATACAAGGGGCTGGGAAACATCAAAAGGGAAGAATCCCTCAGGAGAAAGTGATTTATGGGCAGAGGTGCTGGGTCTAAACAAATCGTGTGGTGACTGCCAGATATATCTATGAGCACAGAATGGCTTGATTAGGGTGAGAAAGCTATGGGAG